CTGTTAGCCAAAGCAAGTCACATGGTCAAGCCTAAAGTGAAGAGCCAGGAGGTCTGCTCTGCCCTCAGTGAGACCATGGCAAGGATATAGACATAGGGAGTGTTGAAAAATTGGGGCCAATAATCCAACCTACCACAGTGGTTTAACACAATAAATTAACTTTCTCCTTCATTTCACAGTCCAGTGTAGTCAGCAAGGAAGCTCTGCTCTACCTGGTCATTCAGCAACATGGGCTCCTTCTACTGCTTGGCTCCCCCCATCTCTTTTGGCTTCCTAATTCTCTGCATTCAGCTGGCAGATGTGGAGAGATGGAGTGTCTAGATCACTGTAGTTAGCAGAATACTGGCCCCTAAAGATGTCCACATTCTAATCTCTGGAATCTGTGATTGTTATCTTTACTGCAAAACAGACTTTACAGATGTGATTGAATTAAAGATCTTTTTTTTTTTTTTTTTTTTTTAGGACAGGGTTTCACCATGTTGGTCAGGCTGGTCTTGAACTCCTGACCTCAGGTGATCCGCCTGCCTTGGCCTCCAAAGTGCTTGGATTACAGGCGTGAGCCACCATGCCCGGCCAAATTAAGGGTCTTAAAATGGGGATATTATCCTGGATTATCTGGATGGGCCCTAAATATAATGACCTTATAAAAGCAAGGCAAGAAAGTCAAGGAGAAAGAAGTAGGAGATATGAAGATCGGAAACACTGGAGCAATGCAAGGAAGGAGTCAGAAGCCAAGGAAAGCAGAAGACCTCCAGAAGCCAGAAAAAGCGAGGATTCTTCCCTAGGGCTTCAGAAGGAAGGAACCCTGCCAACAACACTCTGACTTAAGCCCTGTAAAGCTCATTTCATACTTCTGGCCTCCAAAAGATAGAGAATATATTTATGTTGTTTTAAGTAACTAAGGTTATTGTAAGTTGCTATAGATGCACATATCGTCTTCAATCATGTTCCATTGAACTTAGGCACACAGCTACTCCTATCTGTATAGGGGCCAGGCCAATGTAGTCTCTTTATGTGGCCAGGAAAAGAGAGTTGGGGCCAGTTGCCCCAACATCCCTTCATGGAGGCTTCCAGACCATGAATCCCACCAGCCAGACTGACCATCCTTCAGCTTCTCAAGAACAGCACACTCCTGTCTTGTACCACATCTTTTTTTTTTTTTCCGAGACAGAGTTTTGCGCTGTTGCCAGGCGCCAGGAGTGCAGTGGCGTGATCTTGGCCCACTGCATCTTGCCTCCTGGGTTCAAGCAATTCTCCTGCCTCAGCCTCCCAAGTAGCTGGGACTACAGGCACGTGCCACCTAATTTTTGTATTTTAGTAGAGATGGGGTTTCACCATGTTGGCCAGGATGGTCTCGATCCTTGGCCTCGTGATCCACCTGCCTTGGCCTCCCAAAGTGCTGGGATCACAGGCGTGAGCCACCACGCCCAGCCCCTCGAACCACACCTTTATAGCTACTGCAGTCTCAGCCTTTTAATGAGTTCTGCGGCAGGTGATGGTGGTTTTCACTGGAATTTCTGAAAGCCTCCCATACCATGTTTACACCATTCGATTAAATGCAATGGGGGAAAGAGATTTTTTTTCTTCTTTTTTGGAGACGGAGTCTCCCTCTATTACCCAGGCTGGAGTGCAGTGGTGCAGTCTCAGCTTACTGCAACCTCTGCCTCGCAGATTCAAGTGATTCTCCTGCCTCAGCCTCCCAGGTAGCTGGGACTACAGGCATGTGCCACCACACCTGGCTAATTTTTGTATTTTTAGTAGAGACAGGGTGTTACCATGTTGCCAGGCTGGTCTCAAACTCCTGGCTTCAAGTGGTCCACCCACCTTGGCCTCCCAAAGTGCTGGGATTACAGGCATGAGCCACTGTGCCCAGCAGAGATATTTTTAATAATTTAGAATTTATTGCATGCTGCCAGTATGCTTTTAAAATGAGAATACATATACTCTATTTTACTGTCCTTTTTAGAAACTGTAAGGCAAAGGAAATTGTGTAGATAGCAAGGTCAGAGAAGTGACCAAAACATGTGGCTATAGAATATAAAAGAGTAAGTAATTCAATACATTTTCTGAGTCATAAAGGAGAAAGAAACCTTAGGAGGTTGTTTGGCTGAACTCTGCTTCTGAAAGCGCTAGACTGAAATCATCCCAGGTGCAGTTGGTGAGGGGAGCTGATGGGAAGCGGGGAGAGGAGGAGACAAGAAGGCCAGTAAGTGTGATCTATTCTAAGATCTCTAGGCATGGAGATGAGAAAAGACCTTTTCAAAGTTTTGTTCCAGTCCTCAGAAGATCTCTGCATAGCTGAAATACTCAATGCTAATATTGGCTACAAACTTTACATATGGAAGACCTTCTAGCATCCAACTCAGCTATCTTCTAATTTTAAGGAAGAGCTGAGGGTTGGGAAACTTCTGGGCCTCAGTCACACTCCAGGGAAAGCTAAAGTTCAAGATCTCCCCCTATCTGACTGGGCTGAACTGCCAGATTAGAAAAGGGGCAGCCCTCCACACAAGTCATCTCTGTGTTCTAAAATGGGAAACAGGGCAGGAACCTCCCCTTACCATCAGCAGTTGCTTCACAGTGTTTGATGCCCCAATTCCCTTCAGACCTAAAGAAATCAAGATCTCTGTGCCTGTCCATTCCCTCTTCCTATCTCTCTCACTTCGCCCTTTTCTCCCCACCTAACGTTGTCTCCTCCTCTTCTCTAGACTCAGGGCAAGGTCTTAGGAGGAGGCAGGAATATCTTCTTTACAATGGTCAGAGCTTGATATTCTAACTAGACTACCCAGAAGTCTTTCAAAAAAGGGCAGTGACTGCTCTCTCTTGTCATGAGGCAGTAAATCTCTAGGGTTTCAGTCCAGAGATAGGAAGCTATCGAACAAAATTTGAAGAAGTATTTAAATTCAGCCGGGCGCAGTGGCTCACGCCTGTAATCCCAGCACTTTGGGAGGCCGAGGCGGTGGATCACGAGGTCAAGAGGTCGAGACCATCCTGGTCAACATGGTGAGACCCCCGTCTCTACTAAAAATTACAAAAAATTAGCTGGCATGGTGGTGCGTGCCTGTAATCCCAGCTACTCAGGAGGCTGAGGCAGGAGAATTGCCTGAACCCAGGGGGCGGAGGTTGCGGTGAGCCGAGATCACGCCATTGCACTCCAGCCTGGGTAACAAGAGCGAAACTCCGTCTCAAAAAAAAAAAAAAATTTATTGTTTTAATATTTACAAAAACAAGTCCTGTTTCACTAACGAGCGGCAAATCCAGGACTCAAATGCAGTTTGTCTGACTTAAGTCTTTGCATTTGAAGAAAATCATTCTTTTACTCTCCTGCTCAAGGTCGTCTTGCTTTATATTCCCCAGCTTTTTACTTCTTTCGTTGTTGTTGAGATAGGATCTCACTCTGTTGCTCAGGCTGGAGTGCAGTGGGGCGATCTCAGCTGACTACAGTCTCTGCCTCCCAGATTCAAGCGATTCTCCCACTCTCAGCCTCCCTGAGTAGCAGGGACCACAGGTGCGTGCAACCCCCATCAAATTTTTTGTATTTTTTGTAGACAGGGACCACATTGCCCAGACTGATCTGAAATTCCTGGGCTCAAGCAGTCTACCCCCTTTGGTCTCCCAAAGTGCTGGAATTATAGGCATGAGCCGCTGTGCCCAGCCAATTCTATTTTACTGCAATTCATTTAAAACTACTGTTGGATTCCATTAAGGACTTACTATGCTACTGCTATGGTGAATTTATTCCTGCCCTTAAGGAGATTTAAATTCTTTGGGATTTCTGCTCACCCTGATTTCCTGCATTATCCCCACCTTCAACTTTGAACTTTTTTTCTTTGTAAATGAACCTCCTTGAATCAGCTTAATTTAAGTGTCATCTGTTTCCTATTAAGTCTTGTTTGATAGAAAGGATCTACTTGAACTCATGTGGCAGGTGGCTAGCTGAGGCATGTGCCCCTTCTAGAGTTCAGAGTTACTGCTGCCCAGAGCAGGGGTTGCATTTCCCACACCCGCTGCCTCAGGAAGGGCCACAGGACCAACTGGGGCTCAAGTGGTGTTCTGCTGCCAGGTTTTGGCCCACAAGACTGTCCATTTGATCCTGATGCTCTCTCTGCCCTCAGCTCAACAGCATCTGCACCTCTAGGACAAGCATTCTGAATCCTTTTGTGCTGTAGATGCCTGAATCCATTCTCAGAATAATGCTTGTTTAAAAATAAGCTTTTTAGGCCAGATGGGGTGGTTCAGGCCTGTAATACCAGCACTTTGGCAGGCTGAGGCGGGCGGATCACTTGAGGCCAGGAGTTCGAGACCAGCCTGGCCAACACGGTGAAACCCCGTCTCTACTAAAAATACAAAAATTAACCAGATGTAGTGGCATGCACCTGTAATCCCAGCTACTCGGGAGGCTGAGCAGGAGAATCACTTGAACCCAGGAGGTAGAGGTTGCAGTGAGGTGAGATTGCGCACCACTGCACTCCAGCCTGGGTGACGGAGTGGGACCCTGTCTAAAAAAATAAAATAAATAAATTAAAATAAGCTTTTTTATTTTGCAATAATTTTAGATTTACAGGCAAGTTGCAAAGATAGTAAGTACAGTTTCCACATGCTCCTTACTCAGTTTCAGTTTCTCTAAAATGGTCATCCTACGTTACTATGGGACATTTGCCAAATTAAAAGACTAACATTGTTAGATTATTATTAACTAGACACCAGACTGCCACTAGCTTTTCCACCAATGTCCTTTTTCTGTTCCAGGATCTAATCCAAGAAACCACATTGTATATAGTTGTCTCCTCTGGTCTGTAGTAGTGTCTCAATCTTCCCTTTTTTTTCATGACTTTGACAGTTTTGAGAAGTATTGATCAGGTATTTTGCAGGATTCCAGAAAAATGATTAAAGCCATAAAATTGAGTTATAAAATAAGGAAATCATAGGAAATATAGGTATTAACATATTTGTAGAGACAAGGTCTCACATTAACATGGTGTTTATGTTTTGTTTTAAATCAGTCTCTGTAGAGACAGTCAAAAATTACCAGTGCCGACTGTATTGCAAGTCGTCACAGTGAGGTATTGGGAAAAGCTTTCAATTAGCAATAATCTCGCCTCAGATAAACCTCATTGGCTACGATACTGCCATTGCGCAAAGCTCATGGTGTTAATGTTAATGTGAGACCTGACCATGTTAATGTGAGACCCTGTCCGTTTGATCCAGGTGCTCTCTGTGCCATCACTCAACGGCATCTGCAGCTCTAGGGCAAGCATTCAGAATCCTTTTCCACCAATGTTCTTTTTCTGTTTGGGATCTAGTGCAAGAAACCATATTGTATTTAGTTGTCTCCTCTGGTCTGTGGTAGTGTCTCAGTCCTCCCTTTTTTTCATGACTTTGACAGTTTTGAGGAGAATTGAAATCTTCACAGATAATTTTAAAAGGCCAGGCACAGTGGCTCACACCTGTAATCCCATACTTTGGGAGGCCTAGGAGGGAGGATTGACTGAGCCCAGGAAATAGAGACCAATCTGAACAACACAAGGAAACCCATCTCTACAAAAAATTTTAAAATTAGGCTGAACATGGTGGCTCATACCTTGTTCAAATCCCAGCACTTTGGGAATCCAAGGTGGATGGGCCATGAGGTCAAAAGTTGGAGACCAGCCTGACCAACGTGGTGAAACCCCATCTCTACTAAAAATATGAAAATCAACTGGGCATGGTGGCACATGCTTGTAGTCCCGGCTACTCAGGAGGCTGAGGCGTGAGAATCGCTTGAACCTGGGATGCGGAAGTTGCAGTGAGTTGCGATTGTGCCCCTGCACTTCAGCCTGGGCCACAGAGTGAGACTCTGTCACAAAAAAAAAAAATTAGCTGGGTGCAGTGGCATGTGCCTGTGGTCTCCACTATTGGGTAGGCTGAGGTAGGAAAATCACTTGAGCCTGGGAGGTGCAGGCGGCTGTGAGCTGTGTTCTCACCACTGCCTTCCAGCCTGGGTGACAGAGTAAGACTCTGTCTCAAAAAAAAAAAAAAACAAAAATATAGATTAGGCTGGGCGTGATGGCTCACACCTGTAATCCCAGCACTTTGGGAGGCCAAGGCAGGTAGATCACTTGAGCCCAGGAGTTTGAAACCAGCCTGGCCAACATGGTGAAACCCCATCTTTATTAAAAATACAAAAATAGAAAATTAGCCAGGGTTGGTGGTGTGCACCTATAGTCCCAGCTACTAGGGAGGCTGAGGCAGGAGAATCACTTGAACCCAGGAGGCAGAGGTTGCAATAAGCCAAGATCATATCATGGCACTCCAAGCTGGGTGACAGACTAAGAGTCTGTCTCTTAAAAAAATGTGTATATAGGCCGGGCGTGGTGGCTCAAGCCTGTAATCCCAGCACTTTGGGAGGCCGAGGCGGGTGGATCACGAGGTCATGAGATCGATACCATCCTGGTCAAAATGGTGAAACCCCGTCTCTACTAAAGATACAAAAAAAATTAGCTGGGCATGGTGGCACGTGCCTGTAATCCCAGCTACTTGGGAGGCTGAGGCAGGAGAATTGCCTGAACCCAGGAGGCGGAGGTTGCAGTGAGCTGAGATCGCGCCATTGCACTCCAGCCTGGGTAACAAGAGTGAAACTCTGTCTCAAAAAAAAAAAGTGTGTGTATATATATATATATATATATATATATATATATGTGTGTGTGTGTGTGTGTATATATATATGTATATATATGCGTGTGTGTATATATATATATACACACACACGCATATACACATTTATATATAAAATAAATAAAATATATATAAATAAAAACTATATATATATATATATATTTTTTTTTTTTTTTTAATTAAAAATGCCAGGTGTGGTGCTGCACACCTGTAGTCCCAGCTACTTGGAAGGCTAAGAAGGCAGGATCACTTGAGCCTGGGAGTTCAAGACCAGCCCCAGTAACACAGTGAGACCCAGTCTCTACAAAAGTAAGAAAAGTACACTGGCATGGCGGCACACACCTGTAGTTCCAGCTACTTGGGAGACTGAGGTGGGAAATTGCTTGAGCCCAGGGATCAAGGCAACAGTGAGCCATGATCATGCCACTGCATCCCAGCATGGATGACAGAGCAAGCCCCTGTTTCAAAATTGAATTAAATGGGCTGGGCACGGTGGCTTACTCCTGTAATCCCAGCACTTTTGGAGGCTGAGGCCGGTGGATCACCAGATGTCAGGAGTTTGAGACCAGCCTGACCAACAGGGTGACACCCTGTCTCTACTAAAAATACAAAAAAATTAGCCAGGCATGGTGGTACATGCCTGTAACCCCAGCTACTCAAGAGGCTGAGGCAGGAGAATCACTTGAACCCAGGAAGCAGAGGTTGCAATGAGCCGAGATCACACTATTGCACTCTAGCCTGGGCAACAAGAGCAAAACTCTTGTCTCAAAAAAAAAAAAAAAAAAAGGGAATAAAATAAAATAGTTTAAAAGTGTGATACAATCATTCGTATTTTTTTTGTTGTTTGTTTGTTTGTTTTTGAGACCGAGTCTTGCTCTGTTGCCCAGGTTAGAGTGCAGTGGCATGATCTCATCTCACTGCAACTTCTGCCTCCTGGGTTCAAGTGATTCTCCTGCCTCAGCCTTCTGAGTAGCTGGAATTATAGGTGCCCACACTGTTCCTGGCTAATTTTTTTGTATTTTTAGTAGAGACAGAGTTTCACCATGTTGGCCAGGATGGTCTTGAACTCCTCACCTTGTGATCCACCCCTCGGCCTCCCAAAGTACTGGGATTACAGGCCTGAGCCACTGCGCCTGGCCCATATGCTATTTTATTAAGACATTAAATAATGAGATCTAGCAATGGTTATAATAACTACCTAAATTTCAAAATAGTGGTGAGCATAAACATTATTTCAAGATTGTGCAACAGCAGTAATATAATATGAAAAATCTATAATTTCTCTTGGTGACAAAGTCATGGGTACTACTGATATCACTGTGGTTTGTTGCCTAAAGGCTAGAGAAAATAAAGATGTAAATTTTTTCACGTTCAAGTTAATGGATTCTCTGGATTTTGTGGCCTCCATGACTGTTCTAAAACGGGTGGCAAGACCACAAGATGGGAAGAGCTGGGTGCCTGAATACCTGCCTACAGCAGAGAGTCTACTCCCAAACTATATCCCACTGACAAATACATTTTACCTAAGTAAGAAAAAACCAGGCCAGGGGCGGTGGCTCACCCCTGTAATCCCAGCACTTTGGGAGGCCGAGGCAGGTGGATCGCCTCAGGTCAGGAGTTCAAGACAAGCCTGGCCAACATGGCAAAATTCCATCTTTACTAAAAATACAAAAATTAGCCAGGCGTGGTGTTGGGAGCCTGTAATCCCAGCTACTTGGGAGAATCGCTTGAACCTGGGAGGCATAAGTTTCAGGGAGCCAAGATCCTGACACTGCACTCCAGCCTGGGCAATAGAGTGAGACTTCATCTCAAAAAAAGGAAACAAGAAAGAAAGAAACCAGATGGGATTACACTATTGAGGTTTTGGGTTTATCTATTAAGGCAGCTAGCATTACCTTAACTAATATGGCTCTTTGCCATTAAATTACATGTGTGTGTGTTTATATATGCACACACATACATATATAATGGCTAACAATACAAAATATAAATACATATTCATATTAATTAAAACTTCATTTTCTTACAAGTAACCAAAAGCTTAACTTAAAAAAGGAGATATTACTGTAAGAGTACTCAGGTATCTCACTTGACACATGGAGAAGTAAAATCATCAAGCTTTTTAAAGATCTGGAGTCAGGGCAGCTCCAGGAACCTCAGCAGCAGTGTTTTGGGGTGCTTGCCTCTTGTGATGAACACTACCACTAAAGTGACTAAACTTCTAACTCTCAGTCTCTGTATGTCTCTGCTAAAATTGTTGAGCAAATGAACCTGATTAGCTTAGTCAGCTTGGATCAGATGTTCTCCTCCAGTCCAGTCAGCTGTGGCCAGGCACTGACTGTCCCCAGTAGTAACATGGGTGCCCATTTTCCCTTGAATGGGGGGATGGACAGTTCTAAGAAAATAATACCACTACAAAAAACACCTAATGAGTTGCTGCAATGTGCCAGATATTCTTCTGTGTACCTTTACAGGCATGTCTCAGTTTATTACTCTTTGCAGATATTTGCTTATTTTGCAAATTGAAGGTTTGTGGCAACCCTGCATCGAGCAAGTCTATTGGTGCCATTTTTCCAAGAGCATATGCTTAGTTGATATGTATGTGTCACATGCTGGTGATTCTCATAATATTTCAAGCTTTTTCATTATATTTGTTGTAGTGATCTGTGATTAGTTGATGTTACTATTTTAACTGTTTTGAAGTGCCTTGAACCACGCCCATATAAGACAACTCACTTAATAAATGTTGTGTGTGTTCTGACTGCTTCACTGACCAACCATTCCCATATCTCACTGTCTCTCCTCGGGCCTCCTTATCCTTTAACACTCAAGACTTGAAATTAGGCCAAGTACGGGCTCGGTGGCCTATGCTTGTAATCCCAGCACTTTGGAAGGATGAAGCAGGCAGATCACCTGACGTCAGGAGTTCGAGACCAGCCTGGCCAACATGGTGAAACCCTGTTTCTACTAAAAATACAAAAATTAGCTGGGTGTGACGGTGTGCACCCACAATCCCAGCTGCTTGAGAGGCTGAGGCATGAGTATAGCTTCAACCTGGGAGGCGAAGGCTGCAGTGAGCTGAGATGACACCACTGCACTCCAGCCTGGGTGACAGAGCAAGAATCTGTCTCAAAAAAATAAAATAAAATAGAGAAAGAAATTAGATCAAGTAATAACCCTACAATGGCCTCTAAGTGTTCAAGTGGAAGGAAGAGCTATAGGTCTCTCACTTTAAATAAAATACTAGAAATAATTAAACTTAGTGAGGGAGGCATGTCAAAAGCCCAGAAAAATCAAAGGCTAGGCTTCTTGTGTCAAACACTTAGCCAAGAATGCAAAAAAAAAGTTCTTGAATGAAATTAAAAGTACTACTCCAGCGAATGCATGAATGATTAAAAAAAAAAAAGTGAAACAGCCTTGATTGGGTGTGGTGGCTCATGCCTGTAATCCTAGTACTTTGGTAGGCCAAGGTGAGCAGATCACTTGAGGC